CATTTATTCACTTAAAAAAAAGAAGTCTAAGGTTCTCAGACTAAGAGGCATTGGGTCCCTGTGATGGACGAGCACCCCCGCAGAGTTTACCTCTCCAAGAAAAGGCACCTGAGAGGCTGCGAGAACACAGCTCCTCGTTAGTATAGTGGTTAGTATCCCCGCCTGTCACGCGGGAGACCGGGGTTCAATTCCCCGACGGGGAGATGTTCTCCTTTTGCAACCCTAAGGTTATATGTATTCTTTTCTCCCCCAAGGGTTAGACTTCGCGTGGTGCCCCACAGCTTCCTCATATATAAAATTTGCACATCTTTAGAGGTGTACACGTCTCCTGGCGCAAGGCTCTCATCAGAGCCTACTACAAAGGACACCCAGCTCCGAGACACTACGCTTTAAGTTATGGGCGCCAGGGGCCGGAAGGGAGGACACCAACGCCAGGCCACGCCCCGCCCCCCCCGCCCCCCGCACCGGCCGCGCATGCGCAGAAGCGCGCGGCGGGATTACCAGGCGAGGCCGTGACCTCAGCGTAAATCGGCGGGGGGAGGGGAGGGAAGACGGGGTCTCCACCCCCAACGGGCGGGGGCGGGGTGGGCTGCCAGGAGCGGAAATAGCCGGATAAAGAAGAGAAAGGCCGGTTTCCTTTAGCCCCGGGCCGGTGAGACGGGAAGCCCCCTGTCCCGCCGCTGCCGTTAGGTCCCGGCAGGGCGGAGCGCTGTCCGGAGCTGTCCGCTGTCCCTGTCGCCTGAGAACGGGCGAGGAGCGGCGGGAGCCCGGGAGGCGCCGGCGCGCCGGAGTCCTAAGGAACCGCGCGAGCCCCAGCCCAGCAGGACCTCGTGGCGCAACGGTAGCGCGTCTGACTCCAGATCAGAAGGCTGCGTGTTCGAATCACGTCGGGGTCATGGCTCTTTTCCTTTTGGAAGCCGTCCTGTGTTCCCGCCGTTTTTCTTTTCGCTGATGCTTATGCATGGTTTTTTCAAAAGCCTTCCTCTGTCAAGTTATTGTAGGAGTGGGGAGGTAGAGCCCATAGCACTGCTACGGAGCAAAACACCACAGGAAAAGCCCTGACGATGGTGTTCACGGATGGCAGGAGGGAGGGAAGGGGACGGGAAAAGAAGTAGGATGCACAGGGCCCCTGTGCCGGCGCCCCACCGTGAGTGGGGTGCGCGAGTGCTCACAAGGCACGTGGGGCTTGTAACTGTGTCTTATTGCAGGCAGTTTAGGTTTTTAAGCTGAACAGAGCCTTAAAGATAATGTATCGAATATTTGTTAGATTAAATAAATAAATAGCAAGGCGATCAGAAGTATCTTTAGCGTTTTATTGGATAGGCCCATGAAAGTACCTGGGTCATACTATGCAGTACTTTGAAAACAAAGTATGGAATGCTATTTTTTTGAGCAAAAGGAGATGGACATATCTGCATTTTACCCTTTACCCTCCTCTTTGTCACTGGAGGTTGTGCCTAAGGCTACACACATCCTAGGAAAGGGCTGTACCGCTGAGGTACCTCCCCAGCCAGAGACCTATGTTGTCTTTTTTAGACCTATGTTTTGAACCATGAAATGCACAGTATACTGCGATATGTGCCATGAAGTCAGTGTATGAACAGTGGTCTAGAGTCTCGAAAGCAGGGATATTGACTCAGCATTGGATTGTATGAGCCCTGAGCAACCTGCCCCGCCTACATCATAAAAGTAATGACTTGGGGGCAAGAAATCAAATAACAATAAATGCTGGCGAGGCTGCTAGGGGCAAGGGAGGAAAGGAACCCTCCCCCATTGTTGGCTGGAATGCAGGCTGCTATGATCCTCATGGATATTCCTCAAACAGCTAGTTATAGGTTGTCTCTAGTTGTCCCCTGAACATGGAGCAGACTTCTAGAATGTGTGATTAATTCATGATCCACTGGGATTATGGGTGTGAATGCTGCTGGGATTATGGGTGTGAGTGCTGTTGGGATTATGGGTGTGAGTACTGCACCCAGCCTGGGTGGATAGCCTGAACACAATTTAAGAGAAATAGACTTGCTCTCTGTAGCCATTATTTCCACTACTCCTCCCTTTTGCTCTTGCTGTTTCGCTGCCTTTTGCTGCCATGAACTGCTGTCCTCTGCTATGTGCTGCTGTGCCTTGGAGCCAGCTGAATACCGACTGAAACATACAGTAAACTATGAGCTAAATAAACCTTTCCTTCCTTCATTTTGGGTGTTGAGTATTTGCCCCAGCAATGAGAGAAGCGTAACTGAGACACAGCTAAAATAGAGGTGGGGCCCAGCAAGGCACCTGGCCTCTGACACAAGCTCTGGGACAAGGGTCTTGGCTGGCCCCTGACTGCCCTCTCCCATCTGCAGGATATGGGCTGGTGGTTCTGTGCTTTGAGGTCTCCATTGGCCGAGAGTTTTCCCTCGGGAGTGGCCCATCTTCATATAAGCTGGATGTTACCCTCTGTCAGAGGAACAGCAGGCAAAACTTTTCCCTTTCTGTAGGCTGTCCCTTCACTCTTCCTTCATTGTGAAGGACTGACCTGCTACTGCCTGTGGCCCTGAGAGAATTCTTGTGGACAGCAGAAGAAATGCGAGGCTCCCTGGGAGAAAAGAGTAAAGAGAGAAAAGTGACTTCCCACATCTGCGGTGCTGATTGCTGGCTTTTCATACCAGTGCCTGAGGCTGGCACCAAGGGAACGGAACAGTCTCTCCTTAGTCTGGGGGCAGGATCCTGGCAACCTGGTAGGCCATGGCTGTGGCCTTGTGTGCCTGTTGCCTGCATCTCGTCATGTGGGCGATGACCAGACTGGAGGAGTTGCAGAGAAGGGTGATTGTTTATTACCAATGTGATTGCACTGTAAGGGCCAGGCTCATGGGTTCCCAACCCAAGCATACTCCCACAGAGCTCCCAGTCTCCGGCACTCTACCTCATTTTGGTGGAACCAGGGATTGAACTCCGTGAGCCCGGGACTTCGCTGTTGCTGAGGATGGCGGTAGTACTTTTGAGGGGAGCTCTGGTTCTTACCTTTAGCATTGCTGTCTGGCTCCAGTGCGGATCCCTCAGCTGGCTGGCACAGGTCCTTCATCCCGCTGACACAGACTTTCTAGCTTCACTACTGTCCTTTGGGCCTTCCCAGTGCAGATCCATGAAGCAGGTCTGCAGGAGACATTGTCATGGGCTCTAAGCCTCCAGTGGGACTCACTGGGGCACTGTGATGGGCTCTCGGTCTTTGGCTGGACTCATGCAGCACATTACCTGGGGGTCCAGGCCCTCAGCTGGAGTCTTTGGTCTTCAGTGTGTGGACAGATCTCCTGCAGTCTTTGTATATGATTCTTTGGGTGATTCATTATAAAATAATCTATAAAATGTGTCCTGTATTGTATTGTTCCCCTTGCAAAACCCCAGACTACAACATATAGTTGTAAGGAGGAGACAGCAAAGCCTGTGGAACTGCAAGGTGGAAGACAAAGTGAGCAAAGAGGTCTCTGGCCCTTTCCTTTTTTTTGGGGGGGGGGCTTACCTTTTTAATGCACTTTTTTTTTTTTTTTTTTTTTTTTTGCAAAACCAGGGATTGAACTCAGGCCTTTGCGCTTGCCAGGGAAGCGCTTATTCTACTGAGCCATCTCCCCAGCCCCTGGCACCCAAAACTAAGGAAGGAAAATTTAATTTAGCTCAGTTAGTGGAGGTTTCAGTTGATACTTGGCTAGCTCCAAGGCAGAGCGGCACACGGCAGAGGGCAGTAGCTCATGGAGGCGGAGAAGAGCAACACTGCAAGAGCCAAAAGGAGGAGTGACACGGCCAGAGCCAAAAGGGAGGAGCAGTTCTCGCTGCCTGTGTTGTACCCAAGCTGTCCACCCCAGGGCAGGTGCAGCATTCACACCCATAATCCCAGCAGGAATGGATCACGAGGTCTAGAAGCCTGCCTCAATGACTGCATGAGACTTAGGGGGACAACTAGACACAAACCGAAACAGCTGCCATCACTTTATTTCTACTGGCATGATGTGACCGCTGGAACTGGGTCTGGGATGGTCGTCCTGTGGTTACGTCTCTAGGAACCAAGAGACCGATCCAACAAGCTGGGCTGTTAGAAAGTCGTCCGGACTGCCCGCCTGTGTGCAGAGTCCAGAATGGAGCCGTGTGTTACTGGGTGATGGGATTACCTCGGTGGCTCTTTTTTCTCATTTGTGACAAAAGTTGGCAAAGCAATTCTTGTCTCCTGTTCTCCTCTACAGTATTTCTGAACATATTGTTCTTTTCTCACCCCGCTCCCCGTCCCCAATTTTCAGCTTCTGGAAAAGAGATAGAAGTGGAAGTGGGGCTGGGGAGATGGCTCAGTAGAATAAGTGCTTCCCTGGCAAGCACAAAGGTCTGAGTTCAATCCCCGGTTATGCAAAAAAAAAAAAAAAGAAGTGGAAGTGGAGGCTGGCAGACTCTGTCATCCCCTGCTCCCAATGAGGACGCTGCCATAGCACCTGTCCCTGATGTGGGCTCAGGGCAGGGTCTTGCCCACATTTCTCTGGGGACAGTTTTTAATGCTCTGATGCTTCTGTCTTCCTGTTAGATCATGTACCCGGATTCCCTCCTGCTCTCTCTGTAGTCTTGGGTTATAGAATAATCCAATAAAGAATCACATGGCTCCAGGGAAACTAGTAGGATGGATGTACCAGTGAGAGCTCAGCAGACTAAGAGCTTGCTTAGGCAAGCATAGCTACCAGGGTTCAATTCCTGGCACCGCATGCAATGCCTCCCCCACCCCTGTCACACCTAGCCACCGAGTCTGGGCGTGGTAGGGCACACCTGTAATTCCAGCGCTGGGGAGGCTAAAAACAGGAGGATCACAAGTCCTAGCTGCATAGTGAGACCCTGTGCCAAATACATAAAAAAAAAAAAAAAAGCAGCAGTGGGGGTGCATAAGCCTCTGGTCAAGAAAATGAAATTCTTCTTTTGTCGTACTGGAAAGGTCACGGTAATGCACGCCTGCGGTCCAGCACTCAAGAAGCCGAGGCAGAAGGAGCGTCATGAGTGTAAAGCCAGTCAGGGCTGCACGGTGAGTTCAAGGCCAGCCTGGGCTCCACACTGGAGCCCCGTCTAAAAAACAAAAACAAGAAAAAGAAAGAACCAGTCATTGTTGGACTTTTTAGTATTGTTGGAATGTCTTTGTGGATGCTTTTCTTTCTGAACCAAAAAAAGAAAAAACAAAAAAAACTAATGCCATAAAAGTATCTATTATTTGCTCCCATTCTTGCCCATACTCTCATGTTTTTGTTGTTTTGTTCTGTTTGCGATACTGGTGATCAAACTTGCAAACCAGTGACCTTGCACTTGCCCGGCAGGCACTTAGGCAGCTGAGCTATACCCCCCCCCCCCCGCTTTGTTTTAAAATGAAGAAAAAAAAAATACATCATCTTTTGTACAAAAACACTTACTGGGGCTGGAGAGATGGCTCAGTGGTCTAAAGCACCTACTTGAAACAAGCTTGGCAAAGCACAAGGACCAATCCTCCAGCACCACATGCCAGCCAGCCCCGCCCCCTGGTGGGCTGAGCTGGCCACACACACACACACACAATAAATAAATGTAATAAATAAAAATAAATAAATATTTAAAAAAAAAAAACACTTACTGATTAAAAACGAAACAAAAAATGGAATTCTGTTCACCCTAGCGTTTCTCTTCCAGGGCATCTTAGTCAAAGAGTGAACAGCATCATGCTGTAGTGATGCCTGTGCACAGCGTTTATAGCGGCGCAGCTCACAACAGTGTCTCGGTTGCTTTTCTGGACCCAAAACTCAAAATTAAGGGAGGAAAGGCTTATGTCAGACTCACAGTGATGCTCCTGTCTCAGCCTCCCCCGGTGCTGGGATTAGAGGCCTGCGCCACCACACCCGGTTTTGGTGGCTTACCCCAAGTAGGGTCAGCATGGCATGTAGTACTATTGCAGGCGGCCAAATCAGATAGAAATATTATAGGCAGTCAGGCAGGGCCAGGCCCTCGAAGGAGACAACACAGACGACAAGATACCTTACAACTGTGGGAGGGACAGATGCTCCTGCTATAAGCCAGACCTAAAGACCAAAGATCAAACAAATGCTGACCTCCCTAAAGATTAGCATAAGGGATTGATCTTCACCTTGAGGGGCCAGGGAGATGGCTTAGTGGAATAAGCACTTCCCTGGCAAGTGCAAGGGCCTGGGTTCAATCACCAGTTCTGAAAAAAAAAAAAAAAAAAAGAAGCCAGGAAGAGTCCTTATCTGATAGTTACCAGATAAAGTCCTGTTCTACATTCATGCCCACTTGCTGCTTGCTATGTGAGTCCCTTCCCCATTTGTTCCTGGACTTAATCAATTTTACCTGAGCAATGGTGCTTTAATCCCATTGGTTGACCATAATTTTGTCCCACTCCACATACACCTAATCAAGTTCCCATGTTCCCCACCTTAGCCCCACATGGTTTTACTCTATAAAAGTCCCTGGAAGAGAAAGCTTCCTGGGGACTACGCACTCGGGCCCCCCTTCTGTCCCTCTCTTGGACAGGAGCCTTCTTTCCCTCAATAAATATATTGTGCTCATAACCTCCGTTTGTTCCTAAAATTCGTTCTTCAGTTTTAGAGAGCACAAACTCATCCAGGTCAGGTCGGGAGATCATTTTTCCCCTGTATCCTTTGGAGGTTCCCTGTATCATTTGGAGGTCACCTACCCGAGATCAGTTTTTTCCCTATGTCAGTACCAGGGTTTGAACCTGGGTCTTTCAGCTTGCCAGACATTCACTTAGAGGGCTAAGCAATGTTTACCAAGTGAAGACCCTGGCCTCCTACTGAGTTCCTCAGTTAAACTTCTAAACTTCTCAAGTTGTCACAATGTATCAACCATTACCATCCGCCCCTTGACAACTTAGTAGCCAAACGTTTCTTTACACTGGTCTCCAGATACCAACATATGGATATTCTTACTTCACACCTTGAACATTGTAACACAGATTTAACAACCTTTAAGAACTAGTATTAAGTCTATCAGCAGTACATGCCCTTAGAACCCAGCCCCAAAGACTCAGGCACACCCCTTTATGCGAAGCCCCAAAGACTCAGGCACACCCCTTTATGCGAAGGCATTTAGTCTATCTGCAGGAGTTGCCAGAGTCCTACAGTCTCAGCATTGCCCCAAAGTCCCAAGTGCCAAGTCTCCTCCAAGATTTAAGGCAAACGCTTAGCAGTGAGCCCCTAAATGAAAACAAAGTTAAACACTTCCAACATTTAGTGGCATGGTTTTTCTTATACAAGAAAGGCAAAGCATAAAAAAAGAGCAGAAGGGCTTATTCTACTGAGATAGCTCAGTAGAATAAGCACTTGCCTGGCAATTGCAAAGGCCTGAGTTTAAAAAAAAAAAAGGCAGAATGAATGATACATAATAAGAAATGGGAAATAGATTTTTTTTTTTTTTTTTTGTGGTACTGGGGATTGAACTCAGGACCCTGCACTTACCAGGCAGGCTCTTATTCTATTAAACTATCTCCCCAGCCCAGGAAATAGATTTTTTGTAAATAGTAAGAGGACCCAGATAAAGGGAAGACCCTATACTATTCCAAGGGATTAAGATTTTAGATTTTTTTTTAAATTTAGATTTAATCCTGGGGCCAGTGAGGTAGCTCAGTGGTCTAAAGCGCCTGCTTAGGCAAGCTCAGGCAAGCACACAGGGACCACAGTTCAATCCCCGACACCACAAGCCACGCCAGCCCCACACCCAGGGTGGGCTGAGCTGGCCAAATAAATAAATAAATAAATAAATAAAATAAAAACTAAAAAAAGAAAAATCTGCACACACAAAAGATGAAAACTTACAAGACAAGGCTCAGAAGTAAAGACTAGGGGCTGGGGAGATGGCTCAGTAGAATAAGCGCTTCCCTGGCAAGCACAAAGGCCTGAGTTCAATCCCCAGTTCTGCAAAAAAAAAAAAAAAAAGTAAAGACTATACTATTCAATAAAGCAAAAATTAAAAAAAAAAAATAGATTTTATCCTGAGGACAACACAGTTATGATTTACAACTGTGACAAAAATCAGATCTGGCTTTGCAAAGAATATACTTTTAAATGGCCTTGTGCTGTTAGATATATCACAAGCTAGAAATGCAAATATGTGTTTAGATCCTGCTCCGATCTACACACTGACAAACTTTCGAGAATGAGGTCCAGCCACACACCATCCAATTGTCTTTCGTGCAAGTAAAGTTTGAAAGTCCCTGGTCTATAAAGTAGGGAAAACAATGATGGTCCTACTTGCCTCACAGGGTAAAAGGATCAAATGTGACAAAGTACATCACAACTATTTCTAAGCTATAAAGCGGTTTATGTTCATGACACTACGAATGACATTATGAACTCTTTTTTTGTTTTGTTTTTTGGTGGAACCGGGGATTGAACTCAGGTCCTTGCGCTTGCCAGGGAAGCGCTTTTTCCACTGAGCCATCTCCCCGGCCCCTTATGAACTCTGTTATTGATCTAAAATTTTCACTTCACAGATGCCAGCTTATTTCCCAGGGCTGGTCACTTTTGCTTTCTTAGAATGGTCCATCTGCTCATTTGCTATGACTTTGACCTAAAATATGACTTTTCAATTTAACACAACCTACCGAAACCTTATAGGAATGATGTGCAGATAGACGCAATAGAATAGATGGATCCATGTCTAAATTTCAAGTCTTGGCATGTCATAGCTCTGTGGCTTTGTTCTGTGTCACTAAAAAATTTCCAGCGTGTCATTGATTCTTTCAAGGGGATTTACCCACCAGTAGAGAATATTTTGTGCATCTGTTTCACCTGGCTAATAATCTGACCTTCCCTTGAGATTATTTTGAATCAATTATCTACAGTATGTACTCTTGATGAGTTATAAAATAGAGCCTTTGGCTATGCAAAACTGAAAGATGAATGTGGACTTTTTTTTTTTTTTTTTTACAGAACCGGGGATTGAACTCAGATCCTTGTATTTGCCAAGCAAACACTTATCCTACTGAGCCATCTCCCCAGCCCCTGAATGTTGACTTCTAATGAGCTGAGAGGTTTCCCAATTTCTCATTCTTTTTTTTTTTTTTTTTTTTCATTGATGTATTTGGTACAGGGATTTCTCAATTTTTCACACTAAAAAGAAAAGTATTTATGGTTATACATTCAGATGTGTTCACAGAAGAAATCTTGGAAAATACTGAAAAACAAAGAGAAAATGAACAATCACCTGTGCCCCACTACCCAGTAGAAACTACTACAAATATTTTGGCTTATATAGTTTCCTAGTTTTCTTTGTATATATAGTGCAAATATATATACATTCACTACACAAAACTGAATTATTGGGGTTTTTCTGTTTTGTCTTTTTGAGATAGGGTCTCACTCTACAGTTCAGGCAGGACTTTTTTTTTTTTCTTTGTATTTAGGACAGGGTGTACAGGGTCTCACTGCATAGATTGGACTCCTACCTAGTGATTCAGGCAGGACTCTGATCTCCCTTTGTACCCCAGGTTGCAGGCCTCAACCTCACAGTGATCCCCCTGCCTCAGCCTCCTGAGTGTTAGGATTACAGGCATGTGCCACCATGCCCACTTCCTGCTTTTTCTTTCACAGTATGTAGTAAACATTTTCTTATTATTCTTAATGTCAAAATCATGAATGCTATGGTCCTGTCATATTTCATCAGATAGGAACATCCTACTGAGCTATTTGGCCGGCCCTTCTGCTTAATTTAGAAAATTTCACAGGAAAATGAATTTTTTTAAGCCTTGCAAAAAACACACACACAAAAATAAAGCCTTGCTATTCTGACTTGGCTCAGAAGGTTCTATAAGGATTGTCAATGCATAAGAAATACAATCAAAAGAATCAAGTCTTTGAAGATAGAAAGTTAGGAAGCAAAAGAAAGAAAAAGAAAGGTAGAATCCAGAGTATCATAAGTGAATGAATGATTGAATGAATAATTCAATCAATAATTATTCATTCAATCATTCACTTGCAGTACTGGGCGCTAACTCTCTAAATTCCCAGGTTGGGCTCCATCTTGAGATTCTCCTGACTTGGCCTCCCATGCTGCCAGAATTACAATTATGTGCCCTTGTGAACAACATGCTTCCTACAGGACAAATATACTGAAAAAAAGAGACACCAGAGAAAAAGAGCCAGGTTTGGCAGTCTGAGGTGGAAGAACTCCCACTAAATGGATCTATGTCCCCAAGCATGGGGCCAGATCCTGCAGGAAACAGTGACACGGAGTACAGGAATGCAATCAACGTGACGGCAGAGGCGAGGCTGTGGATGAATGAGGCTGGAGGACCGGAAGGCTTCACCAGCTGGCAATGCATCCATCCATGGGGATCACAAGTTCAATACCAGCCTGGACAATCTAGTGACTTAGTGAGAATCTGGCTCAAAAAATATAAAGTAAAATTAAGTAAAGGATATATCTCAGAAGGTTGGAGGTTTAATCCTTAATACTGGAAAACAACAACAAAAAACCACAACTTTTACAAGGAGTTGATGGGGTTAATGGGGTGAAAGTCATACTTAGTTAAGACAGAGTACAATAAATTAGCTGGAAATAAAGACCAGTAGCTGTTGGGTATAGTTGTAATACCAGCCACTTGGGAAGCCGAGACAGGAGGATCACAGATTGAAGGCTAGCCTGAAGAATTTAGCAAGATCCTGTCTCAGACTCTTAAGGTTGAGGCAGGAGAGATCCCAACTCTGAGTCCAGCCTGGAGAATCTTGTGATTTAGTGAGACCCTTTCTCAAACATAAATAAAGAAAAGGGCTGGGAATGTAGCTCAGTGTGAAAGTCCTGGGTTCAATCCCCAAGACCACAAATATTTTATTTTTGTATTTTAAGGAAGGGTTTACAGGGTGTTCAGGGTTTCACTACTAGATCGGACTTGTAGTGATGCGCCTGTTTACAGCCTCCCAAGAGCTGGGATTACAGGTGTGCACCACCACGCCCAGTCTCAACTGCCCTCTAGGGCGCCCCGGGGGTGGGGTCAGCACCCGCTTGCAGGCTCTTTAATCCACTGAGCTATTTGGCTGGCCCTCACAAACAAATATTTTAAAATTTTAAAATAAAACAACTTTTGAGGTTGAAGACAGATGAAGAACACCTGTAATCTTTGCTATTTCGGAGACTGAGGCAGAAGAAACAAAAGTTTCAGGCCAGCCTGAGCAATTTAGTGAGATTTCAATTTTTTTTTTTTTTTTAAAGAGTGCTGAGGATACATGTAGCTTAGTGATACAGTATTTGCCCAGCATTAATGAGGCCCTGGCTTCAACCCCAAGTGTACCACAACTGCAGATTCAACAGGTGAATTTCTAAAAAAAAAAAAA